AATTTATAGTAAAAACTAAGAAAGAAGAGGATGGGCATTTCCATGTAACTGAATGCTTATAGTGTAGAAGGGCTTTAGATCATCAAGCGATATTAATTCTAGAGTAATTCTCACAATTGCCAGTGAGAATTCATGAGACAGGAATGGAGACCCCGAGGATAAGTTGACCATTGTTACAGGGTTATCAAATGACAGAGATGGCAATAATCCAAAGGTCTCAGCAAAGTAAGTTCATATTTTGGAAACAATAGGACCAAATTTATCTTCTTACTATGGATAATATCTTTTATGCTGTATGCATTCAATAAATATATATGAACAATTATGTCAACTTATTTAGATTTTTGTTAAAGAAAAAGAGATGCTGGGATCTAGGTCTATTTGACTCAAGTGTCAAGAAACCATTTGCATCACATTATGGTCACTCCATTTACGGAATGAAGAAAGGCTCTTAGCAGTAGTGCTTTGATATGCACACTGAAGATGTATTAATTTCCCATAAAACTTAAAACTAAAGTGAAAGTTTAGGGCTTTCTGGGAGCCATCTTAATTAAGTCATGATAAAACATAGCAAATTTTCCATCTGTTCCCGTGCCATGTGCTATCAGATACTTTGACCTTTGAGATTTACAAGAGTATGAAAAATCCTGTTCTCTATTTTGTTATCTTCCCTTGTGGCTCAGCTGGTAAAGAATCTGCCTGCAATGTGGGAGACCTGGGTTCGATCCGTGGGTTGGGAAGATCCCCTGGAGGAGGCAAAGGCTACCCACTCCAGTATTCTGGCCTGGAGAATTCCATGACTGTATAGTCCATGGGGTCACAAAGAGTCGGACACAAGCTACTTTCACTTTAAGGACATAAAAACTTGTTAATATGTCTTCCCAGACCTTGAAGAAAGAGATGACAACTGGTTGTGCAAGTCACTGCCTCCCTCTGGGCTTGGGCTCTTAGGAGATCGCTGCTTCAGGGTAATGGGACAGGCCACCCTCTTCAGCAAAACTCATATTTGATGCTTTTGATTTCAGACCTATCAGTCATCCACAGATACGTCTGTTGCTGTACTAAATTGGGTCCCTTACTACTCTGTGTGTGTGTGTGTGTGTGTGTGTGTGTGTGCGCGCGCATCTAAGTGTGTGTCTCTTTTGGTGCTTTGCATTCTGATATGGTTCCTCTGTGAATCGGTAAGGCCACATCTATGTAGCTGGGAGGAAAGGAAGAGGGTCTCACTTTAAAGAGTTGGATAGTCCTGGAGTTGATGATGTGGTGAAGAGGAGCATTCTCAGAAAAGAAGGAACATTTAGAAGGTGGGCTGTAGAAAGGCTTCAGAAAGAGGGAATGTCTGTTGCTCTCTGGAGTCAGCCTCCCCTTAAATAAGGTGGGCTCTGTGGGACAGGCCACAGGGAAATCAATCTGGAGCTGGGGTGGGAAGTGGCTGTCTAGGAGACCAGGAGATAAAACATGAACAACCAATGTTTTATCAACTATGTTGCCTGGCTGTATCCTCCTTTCTGGTTTGGTTTCCCTTTTTTATTATATCAGAGCTTAAAGTGGAGTTTGATTCTCTCTTGCATCCCTGGATCAAGTCTAGTACTAGGAATTTAGAGAACAGTTGTGTTCCACATTAAGCTGGTTTATTACAGGTGAACATTTTCTTCTATTTAGGTCCCCATGTTCCCACTCTCTGGGCCCATGTGGTGGTAGCAGAGTCGTTTATTAAGTTGTTTAGCCATCTACCTCTTCACCACAGGACAATATTCTCTCTATTGAAACCTCAGAAGGTATTAGACTTGAGTTATTATTGAGCAAGATTCTGGACTCTATTTATTTTTAAATTTTGTTTATTTATTTTAATTAATTTATTTTTTAATTGAAGGATATCTTTAGAGTCTTTTTCTAGTAAGTTTCTCCATAAGTCCTCAGATCTTCCCCATAATCATTGCTGTTTTCTGAAAGTCATGTAAGAAAAAAAAGTTTATTTCTTAAAAGAAAAAAAACACATGAAGGCACAATACACGAATATTGAGCTATTGTACTAGACTGATAGAATTTTGTTCATTCTGAAATATAATTTATTGACCAATAACAGTACAATTTCAGAACCTTTCTTGTTTGAATGAGAAGAATGGGTAGGAGATTAGGAGCCCTTCGTAAAGGACAGGGGCCAAAAGGGTAGGGAATAAGAGAGGCTAGAAATATCAAAGATAAGCTGGGCTTACTTGGCCTCTTTCCTTGAAGTGAGGCTAATTTACTTTCAACTGGATATGAGTCCTTTTGCAAGAGTGGGAAGTGATAAGCCAACTTGGTTTTCAGTGATGGATCAAGTACTGGGTGATTTTTCTTCAACCACAACAGTTTAAGTATTTGATCCCCAGAGAATCCATAAATAGAAGTATCAGCATATGTTACAGCTCTGTACAAGAGATAAGGAAAAGGGGCATACCAAGAAAATAATGTACCCATCTTCCAACATGTCATATATTTATTTCCTTCTCACATAAGTGATTAAAATTCTATTCCTTGTATTTTTCCAACTTTTTAAAAAATTCAAAAAGACTTCCACATAATTTTTATCTCATTATGAAAGATTTTTTGCTTGGGAAAATATTATTCCTAGTTTGTGACAATAGAACTATTAACACACATTTGCATAATAATCTAAAGTATTCCATTCACAAAATAAACCTTGGAGATATATTTCCCCATTTTATAGATGAAGAATATTAAATGTGGTAAAGTTGTGGCCAAAGAGGGTTTACATAAGGTCTGAAACATTAATTTCTGGTTCTAACTTTGTAAAGATTTAATAACTTGTCTGAATTCTGGAAGTGTGATTAGAAACCCAGGCTTCTGATTCCCAGCTCACCATTCCTCTTGGACCACCTTTGAACATTCATCTTATTTGGAGGGAATTCTCTACCTTATGCATCCTTATCCCTCAATATAAAAACTGGATGCTTGGTTCCCAAGCCTTCCTTGAAGCTACAGTTAGAGTGAAGAAAGCCACAGTTAGAGTGAAGAAAGCCACAGTTAGTGTTCAGATGTAGCAGCAGGAGCGATCCTAGCAGAACCATCCTCTGTCCAGCCTCAGGGTGTTGATGGTGCCAGACGCACTGTCTGTGTCCACTGGGACACAAGGCAGAGCACCTCAGAGGCCAGTAGGATAGCAGGGCTGGCATACTATCCCTGTCTGTATAACTCCCAAGCTTAGTTCATGGGCTTTTCTAGAGAAGTTATGAGCTGCTTAGTATTCTCTAGTAAGTTATGAGCTGCTTAAACTTACTAAGGTAGGTTTATTTGCAACTAAAAGCTTGCCTGACACAGAGCTCAAATTTCTTTTACTGAAATGACTTCACCTCCAAGTCAGAGAGTCCCTTAGAGAACATTCTTTGGTCCCTTTTAAGGTTTACTTGCTCAGTTTTAGTATTCATTCTTATTATTCATACTTACCCAAACTTCAGTCTCTGGTTTTGCAATGTGAATACAAAGGGGCAGATTTTTAGCTATGAAAACACTGCTGTCATTGAGCTAAGTTATCCATTTAACAAATACAGTGCTAGTGTGTAGGGAGCAGGGAGAAAAATGGACATACACTTGGAAAAGCAGGTTTGGGGCAATATGGTTGAGGGTCTTAAATGTCATTTACTTATTCTTTCAATAAGTAAGTATTCAGTGCTCGTTATGTGCCAAGTTAAGTTCTGCTGCCAATGTCAGAACTACCAGCATTAGAACTAGCAATATGTCTTAGGTAGCGCTCAGTTACATGATCGCAGATTCTTTACCAACTACATGATCACATTTGTGCTATAAAAAGATCCCTCTAACTGACGGGTCCACGAGAATAGACTGCAGAGGAGTGAACCTCAAGGAAGGCAAACCAGTGAGGAGGCATTTTTGACATTTCAAGCTAAAGGAGATGATGACCTGAGGTCAGATGGTCGCAGTGAGATGGAAAGAAGTGAAAAATATACGAGAGATTTTTTATAAAAGTTAGAATCCATAGAAACTGCTGATTAATTGAATATAAAAGATGATACAGGAAAGTGATAAGGGGGAAAAAACAGGTTATTTGTCTGGGGTTAAAAATATCTGTCCTCTTTGAGTCATTTACTTAGGAAAGGGTAGATTTGTACTGAGTCATCTAACTCTCCTATTTCCTTGTGACCTCACTCTGGTAGAGTATAATTATAGGCCCACTCTAAGGAAATGATACAAATAGTGGTGGCTTGCTTACTTGGAACTGGATCTCTGACCTGCCTTTTACAGATAGAGCCTGTATTGAATGCAGCTAATCAGCTCAGCACATTGACATTAGTCAGCAGACGAGAAAACAAAGTTTGAGTTTGTGGAAAGACCTTATTTATTAATAGTATTAAAAGCATATGAAAATCAATGAAGGGGTACAGCCATTTGGGAAGGTGATGAAAACACATAGTGTGAATCTTAAAAAAAGACTTTAAGCTTTTATTAGTGGCAGTTGAGCTAAGAAACTGTTTGATATTCCCCTATTATCCATGTCCACAGAGGGGAGTCATTATTTTTCTTTTTTATGAGACCCGAGCTGTCCCATGAGGTATACACTTGGGAGGTACTTATTGTAGAATTTCAACAAAGGTCCTAAAACACATACTATTTTCATGGAATAGAATCAACAACAGATGAAGGAGAAGAAGAACTGAAATGAAATCAGGATTCCCCAATGCAAAGATTTTTGGGATTAAGAGATGAGATGAGTGGAGACGAGTGTCTCATGCACTTTTTTAGACAGAAAGTGAGTTTAGGGAAGGAAAAATGCAGTAAAAATGAGAAAAGATTAGACCTTGACAGTATATAACAAATTATCATAGCAAGCCTCCTCACCATATGCTTGTTCAATGACAAGTTCATGTTCCAAGATGAAATGAGAAATTAAGATGCATGGCATTCATGATTCTGGAAAGGATAATAATGAAAGAAACCTGTATGATAAAAAAGAAACCTAAACAACCACATTCAACCAGTAGTCATTTTCAAAGTCCTGTTATTACACATTTATTTGCCTTATTGATTCGGAACGTTATTCTGCAAATGCATCAAATCTTTACAAGTTATACTTGCTTCCATTGGTTATATAAGATTTACTCACCCAAAGTCTGTTTTGCTGACGGGTTATGAACTTCTCAATTATTTGTTGTTTTTGTTTTCCTTCGATGATGAGAATCCAGGAGTCGTGATATAATGTTGCTATGGTAATGAATATGTACAAATAGATGATTAAGGATGTGGAGAAGGTTAAATCTTGAGAAACATATTTGCATGTGAATTTTTTTCCAGTGAAATTAAAAAAAAGTCTCCCATGTAAATTTTTTTCTGTTACATACAAAAATGTGAAAGATGTACTGTGTTATATCACATCTTGAACAATGCATTTATGCTACTTATATTAAATAGCAAGAGTCACTCCAAAGAGTATTTTCTTAATAATACTCTTTGAATAATAGCTCATTTTAAAAGATACTGCATTAAAACTGGATTAATTTCCATAGGTGTGTTATGTGCATATACAGATAAAGTATATTCTTTTAAGTAAAAACTGTGACACATAATAAGCATGAAACTCTTTTCTTAAAGCATATAAAAAATATTTACAGTTGCCTGATATTTTTACAGTTGACTAAATATTTACTTTGCCAGTCACTGGAATTCAATATTTGGAGAGTGGTTAACACTTTACTTAAAATCTGCCATAGTACTAATGTTGGAAGAAGAATATGCACTTAGGACAGAGGAAAATGGGATTTGAAGATGTAGTGTAAAATAATCCTGTAAACTAAGGTACTTAGATTTTGAAATATTAATTTTTTTTTGTATCATAGAAGTTTGCACCAAGAACTCAAGAGTTCTTGCTTCCTTCACTGGCTGCCCACATGTTGACTGGCAAGGTATCTAACAAGTCTTGGCTTTTGTATACTGTGCTTAAGTCAAAACAAACATAATGATCTTTTGCCATTTGAAGAGGATTCATTAGACCAGCACTGTCCAATAGAGACAGAATGTGAGTCACATATGTAATTTAAAATTTTCTAATAGCTATATTAAAAAGTAATAAGCAATAGGTGAAATTAATTTTAGTAATATATTTTATTTAACCCAATGTAGCAAAAATATTATCATTTCAAAATATAAATAATATAAAATTATTACTGATACATTTTATATTCTTATTTCATAGCGAGTCTTTGAAATCCAGCATCCATTTTATACTTACAGCACTTGTTCAAGTGCTCACTATTCACATGTGGCTGGCAGATACCACAGTGGACAATGCACCATTATGCTAAGAGGAAAATGATGAGTTTGTTTAGAATATTGACGTTATTCAGTATCAGACTTCTTAGGATACTAACCTTGTTTTCTTAGAAGATGAGAGCTTTCCAACTTGCAGGGACACTACTCACTGTATTTAAGAGACTAAATATGTACAAGGTAAAGATCTGACATTAGTGTAATGCCTTAAGTTTTGACAGTATGTTCACATTCACTACCCTTATTAATCTTGTAGTTCTGAGAAATAGGGAGGAAAGAAGTTCCATTTACTTTTGAGGAAACAGGCCCCAATCTTTAGGCTCCAAGTCTCATGATCCAATGGTAGATTCCAACCTAGGGTATACTTAACAAATAACGAGCAAGCCAAGTCAGTTAAAATATAATGTGTCCTAGCATCTTCTTGTCTTCTCTCAAAAAAGCATCTGTTTTGTGGGTGTCTGGAAGGGCTCAGGCTTGTCCCACATCTCCTTTTTTTTTTTTTTTTTTTGATTAGTTTACTTGGATCCAGAGTGAAAGGAGAACAAAGTCATTTTATGCTTACGGATGTTTTGATTCATGCAAAGTGGTGGTGGTGTTTGGGCTCAGTAAGATCCTCAAGACTGTCATTATCGTGCAAAGTCCGACAAACATCCCATCCCTAACACTGTGGTTTCTTCGATTAAGTCAGTTGTATACATCATTTCACCTTCATCTATGAAGTCTTTCACAGACTTCAGAAAGAACATGCATTATTTAGTGCTAAACTAGATGAAGAAGCAAGTAATATCTCTTACTCTAAAGCAATTAATCTATATGACAACCATTCTTCAAAGAGCCACCTAACAGCAGCAATAACACCAGTACTGGATTCTTGGCTTTCTGTGTTTTTCAGTTTAAAATAATTCCATTCAGACTGACATATATACACTACTATACATAAAAGAGATAACTAATAAGGACTGATGCTGAAGCTGAATCTCTAATACCTTGGCCACCTGATGCAAAGAGCCAACTTGTTAGAAAAGACCCTGATACTGGGAACGACTGAAGGCAGGAAGAGAAGGGGACGACAGAGGAGATGGTTGGATGGCATCACGGACTTGATGGACATAAATTTGAGCATGTTCCAGGAGTTGGTGATGGACAGGGAAGCCTGGCAGTGCTGCAGTCCATGGGTCACAAAGAGTCAGACACGACTGAGCGACTGAACAACAACAAGGACCTACTATATAAATAGCACAAGGAATGCTACTCAATAGTCTCTTAAGGCCTATGTGGGAAAAAAGTTTCAAAGAGTGGATATGTGTGTGTGTGTGTATATATATATATAATATATATATATAATTGATTTACTTTGCTGTACAACTGAAACTAACATAACATTCTAAATCAACTGTAATCCAATAAAAATTTGAAAAAAATCTCACTCACTTTAATGTACAGGCTAAATATGTGAATTGAATTTAGGCTAATTATTAATTGGTAAGACTGCCCTTACACTTGCAAACACAATCCACATGGGAAACACACTCATTTGATAAGCCCCAGGGATTTAAACAATACTAAAACAAGTTTCTAAAATATTGCTTTATATAATTCTTCACCTCTCCTTAAACCCTGCGTCTGATTCCACTCTGCCCCTCAGTGTTTCAATTACTAAAACTGTAGTTGCTAAAATATCTTCCGTAGGACTGGTCCTATACTTCCTTCCAAACCTGGGTTACGCACTGCAGACGACCACATAGGCTGGCGCAGATAGTCCGAAGGGTCGCCATTCATAGAAGGATGGGTTGCTAAAGGGAAGGGCTGCTTGAAGGCACCAGATTAGAGAAGAAATTTCTACAGGGAACCCAGGCAGGGGGGCAACTGATTATTTCCAGAGTTGGACACAGAGGGCGCCCTTCCACAGAGGCGCGCACAGCCAGGACTTGGCGGAGTGTGGAGCCTGGGTGTTTCAGGGTTCACTCACGTTGGAAAGCCTTGAGGGCGCTGGCGACAAGTGAGTGTCAAGAGACCTGGACGCGTGGATCTACAGTAGGAGACTACAGAGCGGAGCCATCAGGAAGCAGCTGCTGCAGGGTTTAAGTTTTCCGAAAGTCTCAGTAGAGCTTTCCCTCCTGTCCCGACCCGCTTCTCAGCGTACCCCGTCTTGGGGACTCCGCGCCACCCCACCATCTTTCTTATTACGCTCCCTACCCATCCCCGCCCCGCCTCTGGGCGATCTCACTGTCTCTCCCACGAGCCGCCTTTGCCCGCCTGCTGGGCAGCGCCAGGCCCCCGGCAGCCTCCGGAGAACCCAGGGGCGGAGGCGCGGCAGGGGCGGGCTCTGTCGCCCCCCCACCCCCGCCCCTGCCAGCCCGGCTGCGGGGCCAGTGGCTGGAGCCCCGCGCACAGCCCGCCGCGGGGGGCGGGGGATGGGGGAGGCCGGGGAGGGGGACGCCGGCGCTGAATAGAGCCAACCGCACACTTCAAAAGGGTGCCGGGCTGCGCTTCCTTTCCGCGCCCCGGGAACTTCAAAGCAGCCCGCGCTGCCCCGGCCGCTCCTCTCCCGGGCCTCGCAGCCCGGGCGCGGCGCCCTGTGGCCATGACCCGAGCGCTCCGCGCCGCGCTCCGCCAGGCTCTTCTGCTGCTCGCCGCCGCCGCCGCACTCTCGGCAGGTACCACAGGCTCTCTTTTCTCCGAGCCCGCGAGGGTGGAAGTCGGGGGCTGTTTGCGGGTGGGCGAGGGATGGGGGAAGAAGGTGCTCCGAGCGAAATGACCTTCCTCGGGGAGGGGTGGGTAGCGCCAGCTGGATTGAGAGGGGCGTGGGACAGGGCGCAGCGTGGGCACCTGACGTCTGCTAGCAGGGAAGACAGGTGTGTCGAGGATGAAGCCACTAGGAGGAGGGAAAAAGCTACAGGGACGTGGGGGTATGGTGTTAGGGGGAGCTGAGGGGAGCTGAGTGACAGATTGGGGGGCAGTTTGCAGCGGAGGGAGTAGGAGAGTGTTTGTGGGTGTGCTCAGAGCTGGCAGTTGGGTGACACTCTGAGTTCACTCTGCTGGGGCTTTAGGGACGCTCCGTGCTGAGCTCCGGAGAGCTGAGCAAGGATGAGGAGACGGTGGTGGGAGGCTAGGGACTGGTGGTGGCAATTCAGTCTGAGTTCTAAGAGATGAGGGTTACCTCAAAAGCCGCTGGTGCCAAGCTCCGTAGGTGGGAGTGGGAGCTTAAATCTGCGTGGTTTGCAAGGCACAGTGCTTTCGAGGTATGATCTTTTACTGAGAGCTGCAGGGGAAAAATGTTCTGGCAAGAGTCCCAGCGTTTATAACAGGTCTGTGCTAAATAGAACCCTCGGCCCAAGCTGGAAATTAAACATTTCTTTATAATGTTTACTAGAACTGGGGCAAATGCATCTTTTAGTAAATTTATAGTGTGCTATGAGGAAAAACCCTTTGACTCTGAAACTCTTTTCATTATAACGTTATTCTGGGTTATGGAGAGGGACCAGGAGCAGATTCCTTGCTAACTCATTCTTTAAACATTCCAAAAAGACATTTAAGTTATTTGCACATAAAAACTACGGTTTTTTCCGTTGGGCTGTACTTTGTCCAAAGATGATTTTGATGCATTTTTATTTTCTTAGATGACAATCTGTTTGACATTAATAGCTATACTCCAGGGCGGGCAGTTTTCCTCTTAGCGACATATTGGGGAGAATGTTTTGAATAGTATGATTGCTGTCACATGCAGAGTCAGCGTTTCAGATGGTCTGAGGGACTTACCAAAAGTTGTATTTAAATGAGAATTTAATTGTTGGAAGTGATCAGTTGATGCAATATGAGGATTAAAACATTTCAGTTATTTTTGAAAAGGCCAGCCGTTTAGGAGAGCGGTTACCCAGAGACTTGGCAGGAAGATGATGTGATAAAGGGAAACATTTGTGTTCAGACTCAAATTCATCAATGGGAAGAAAAATGGCTATGGAAAGTCTCTATAAGAAATGGGCAGAAACTCCACTAACTTGGAGTATTCGAAGTGCTCTTGATGATTTAATTGAATTTATACACTTACACACACATACACAGTCTGCTGGAGATCACAGTTCTGACTGGGCACCTCTGAAGTTGCCTCTGAAGGCTATCTGTACACCCTTTTTTATTTCAGGGAACTAATAGTTTTGTTGCAGAATATTTAAACAGTAGATGCAATTATTTTTTAATCTAGCTTGAAAGGTTTATTTTATTATGTGACAGAATCTTTAGAAAGTTTCAGTGTTTAGAAACACTAGGCATAGCAACATAGGAAAATATGCCCTGCTATGTTCTCAAAAAGGCATGGAAACTTTTGAAATTAAAATGTGCAAAAAACAAAGAAAATTAGATCGTCCCTTCAAATTTGCTTATTTCCTGAAAATTTGAAAAAAAGAAGTGAAAGTTGCTTGCTTAGTCGTGTCCAGCTCATTGTAACCCCATGGACTAAACAGTCCATGGAATTCTCTGGGCAAGAAAACTGGAGTGGGTAGCTGTTCCCTTACTCCAGGGAGTCTTCCCAATCCAAGGGTCGAACCCAGGTCTCCCACATTGCAGGTGGACTCTTTACCAGCTGAGCCACCAAGAAGCCCAAGAATACTGGAGTGGGTAGCCTATCTCTCCTCCAGGGGATCTTCCCAACCCAGGAATTGAACTGGATCTCCTAAATTGCGGATTCTTTACCAACTGAGCTATTGGGCAAAGGCTATGAAAAATGCCTGATATGGAGATAATGTGGCAATATAGTAGAAAAGTACTTACCAAAATCAAACTTTTACAGTGAACTTTTCTATGTGGAATGAAATCATTTTCAAATCTCTTTAAGAAGCTTTACTTCTTTTTGTGTCCCACAGAAAAAATGTAGATTGTGCATTGCATTTTTGATTCTTGTTTTTATAAAAATCTTTGATTATTTGATAGAGGGATTCAAGGTAAAAACTCCACTAACTTGGAGTATTCGAAGTGCTCTTGATGATTTAATTGAATTTATACACTTACACACACATACACAGTCTGCTGGAGATCACAGTTCTGACTGGGCACCTCTGAAGTTGCCTCTGAAGGCTATCTGTACACCCTTTTTTATTTCAGGGAACTAATAGTTTTGTTGCAGAATATTTAAACAGTAGATGCAATTATTTTTTAATCTAGCTTGAAAGGTTTATTTTATTATGTGACAGAATCTTTAGAAAGTTTCAGTGTTTAGAAACACTAGGCATAGCAACATAGGAAAATATGCCCTGCTATGTTCTCAAAAAGGCATGGAAACTTTTGAAATTAAAATGTGCAAAAAACAAAGAAAATTAGATCGTCCCTTCAAATTTGCTTATTTCCTGAAAATTTGAAAAAAAGAAGTGAAAGTTGCTTGCTTAGTCGTGTCCAGCTCATTGTAACCCCATGGACTAAACAGTCCATGGAATTCTCTGGGCAAGAAAACTGGAGTGGGTAGCTGTTCCCTTACTCCAGGGAGTCTTCCCAATCCAAGGGTCGAACCCAGGTCTCCCACATTGCAGGTGGACTCTTTACCAGCTGAGCCACCAAGGAAGCCCAAGAATACTGAAGTGGGTAGCCTATCTCTCCTCCAGGGGATCTTCCCAACCCAGGAATTGAACTGGGTCTCCTAAATTGCAGATTCTTTACCAACTGAGCTATTGGGCAAAGGCTATGAAAAATGCCTGATATGGAGATAATGTGGCAATATAGTAGAAAAGTACTTACCAAAATCAAACTTTTACAGTGAACTTTTCTATGTGGAATGAAATCATTTTCAAATCTCTTTAAGAAGCTTTACTTCTCTTTGTGTCCCACAGAAAAAATGTAGATTGTGCATTGCATTTTTGATTCTTGTTTTTATAAAAATCTTTGATTATTTGATAGAGGGATTCAAGGTAATTTATTTCATCTTTTAAATTGTTTTTCTCATGTAGTTACCTTCATTTGTTTTGACCTAGTAGTCACTTACAAACTGCATTGTTAATCACATTTACCATCTTTTGAAAACATACATGCAGTGATTGACATGTTATATGAGAAGTTGCTATTGACACAGTGACATAGCAAAATTGCATGACAGAAAACACCACTTTCCAATTTGACTCTGCTGAGCACCAGGCCTAGGACCTGAAATATCTGAAAATATTGATGAACCAATAAACCCTTCTTGCTTTGGCTGTTCTCCTCCTGCATCTCTAGCACCTTAGGCATGTTAAGCCTTGACAGCAGAGTAGAAATCATTGCTCCTTGTTGAGAATCTCAGAGGGTAGCTGCTGATCTGGTAGAAACTTAGAGAAAGTTTATTGGTCTGGACTAACTAAAAAAATTAGGTTGCTCTGAGTGGCTCTAATTATCTAGTTTCTGTGTTCCTTGGTGTTTGATAAGGAAGACCTGACATGACCTCACAACATTTATCATGTGTACTAAACAAAAAATTGTCAGAAAATGTCCTGGAGTTCTCAAATTTAAAGCTGGACTTGGGTGTTATACAGATTTACACATTGTATATCTTCTACTTATTTTATGAAAGTCCTTTTTCTTCTAGTTGGAAAGGATTATTAGGCCTGTAGAAGTCTAGGCCCTGTTACTCTAAAAGTGAAAAGATAACTTTCATTTAATAACTTGAGTGGGAGTGGGGGTTTCAGGTAATAAGTTTTGTCTTGTTTTCCCACTTAACAGCAGTTAGCAGTTCCTACTATACATTTTAAGCTGCACTGAAAGTGAAAGCTTTGGACTGACTGAGTTTATCATGCAAAAGATGTCACCTTTGCCTTTCTTTAAGGACAGTCATTTATTGGTTGACTGACACAAATGTAGCAAGAGGCTCTGTGCTTCTGAAAAAGAGACTTCTTTGGACTAGAAGCAACTTTGCAGGAGTACTTGGGGGCATATTTCTTCATCGTCTCTACTGCCTAAACCCGTTGAGAATTCCTCCGTTTTACTACGAGGATGCAAAAATGAAGGATTTGAGGTGTGAGAGTATGAGAGGAGCAAAGGATAACACCCAGTTTTGACCTAAGTAATAGAAGAGATCATTAAGAGGGGTGAGGCTAACTGCAGGAGCAGTCTGAGGAGGACTGAGGCATGGAGGCAGAGAGTTGG